CTATCAATACCCCACCAACAACTAGTACATGGTCCTCTATCAGTACCACACCAACAACCAGTACATGGTTCTCTATGAACCCCACCAACAATCAATACCCGAGCAAGGTCTTCTATCAGGACCCCACCAACAACCAGATAAAGGTCCACTATCAGTACCCCCCCAACAACCAGTCCCAGGTTCTCTATCAGTCCCCCACCAACAACTAGTACATGGTCCTCTATCAGTACCACACCAACAACCAGTACATGGTCCTCTATCAGTACCTCATCAACAACCAGTACCAGGTCCTCTATCAGTACTCCCCAAACAACCAGTACAAGGTCCTCTATCTGTACCCCACCAACAACCAGTACATGGTGCTCTATCACTACCCACAACCATCCAGATCAGTACCAACCAACTACCAGTACAAGGTTCTCTATCCGTACCCCACCAACAACCAGTATCAGACCAAGGTCCTCTATCAGTACCTAAACAACAACCAGTACAAGGTCCTTTATCAGTACCTCAACAACAACCAATACCAGATCAAGGTCCTGTATCAGTACCCCACCAACAACCCATACCAGATCAAGGTCCTCTATCCACCATAGCAAGGTCATCTATCAGTACCCCCCCAACAACCAGTCCCAGGTCCTCTATCAGTACCCCAACAACAACCAGAACCAGGTTGTATATCAGTACCCACCAACAACCAATACTAGAGCAAGGTCCTCTATCAGTACCTCAAAAACAACCAATACCAGGTCCTCTATCAGTACTCCTCCAACAACCAGTACAAGGTCCTCTATCACTACCCACCAACAGCCAGTACCAGGTTCTCTATCAGTACCTCAACAACAACCAATACCAGATCAAGGTCCTGTATCAGTACCCCACCAACAACTAGTACATGGTCCTCTATCAGTCCCCCACCAACAACCAGAACCAGGTTGTCTATCAGTACTCACCAACAACCAGTACATGGTGCTCTATCACTACCCACAACCAGCCGGTACCAGATCAAGGTCCTCTATCCACCATAGCAAGGTCATCTATCAGTACCCCGCCAACAACCAGAACCAGGTTGTCTATCAGTACCCACGAACAACCAGTACATGGTTCTCTATCACTACCCACAACCATCCAGATCAGTACCAACCAACTACCAGTACAAGGTTCTCTATCAGTACTCAACCAACAACCAGTACATGGTTCTCTATCACTACCGACAACCAACCAGTACCAGATCAACCAGTACAAGGTCCTATATCAGTCCCCAACCAACCACCAGTACCAGGTCCTTTATCAGTACCTCAACAACAACCAGTACAAGGTACTCTATCAGTACCCACCAACAACCAATACTAGAGCAAGGTCCTCTATCAGTACCCACAAACAACCAGTATCAGAGCAAGGTCCTCTATCAGTACCCATCCAACAACCAATACCAGATCAAGGTCCTGTATCAGTACCCCACCAACAACCAATACAAGGTTCTCAATCAGTACTCCACCAACAACCAGTATCAGAGCAAGGTCCTCTATCAGTACTCCACCAACAACCAGTACCAGGTCCTCTCTATCAGTACCCCACCAACAACTAGTACATGGTCCTCTATCAGTCCCCCACCAACAACCAGACCCAGGTTGTCTATCAGTACCCACGAACAACCAGTACATGGTTCTCTATCACTACCGACAACCAACCAGTACCAGATCAACCAGTACAAGGTTCTATATCAGTACCCCACCAACAACCACAACCAGTACAAGGTCCTCAAACAGTACCCCACCAACAACCAGGACAAGGTTGTCTATCAGTACCCACCACCAACCAGTACATGGTTCTCTATCGCTACCCACAACCAACCAGTACCAGATCAACCAGTACAAGGTCCTCTATCAGTACCACACCAACAACAAGCACCATAGCAAGGTCATCTATCAGTACCCCGCCAACAACCAGAACCAGGTTGTCTATCAGTACCCACCACCAACCAGTACATGGTTCTCTATCACTACCGACAACCAACCAGTACCAGATCAACCAGTACAAGGTCCTCTATAAGTACCCCACCAACAACCAATAATAGAGCAAGGTCCTCTATCAGTACCCCAACAACAACCAGTACCAGGTCCTCTAACAGTACGCCACCAACAACCAATACCAGAGAAAGGTCCTCTATTAGTACCACACCAACAACAAGCACCAGAGCAAGGTCCTCTATCAGTACCCCACCAACAACCAGAACCAGGTTGTCTATCAGTACCCACCAACAACCAGTACATGGTTCTCTATCACTACCCACAACCAACCAGTACCAGATCAAGGTCCTCTATCAGTACCCCACCAACAACCAATACCAGATCAAGGTCCTCTATCAGTACCCATCCAACAACCAATACCAGATCAAGGTCCTCTATCTGTACCCCATCAACAACCAGTACATGGTCCTCTATCAGTACCACACCAACAACCAGTACAAGGTCCTTTATCAGTACCCCACCAACAACCAATACAAGGTCCTCTATCAGTACTCCCCCAACAACCAGTACAAGGTTCTCTATCAGCACTCCACCAACAACCAGTACCAGGTCCTTTATCAGTACCCCAACAACAACCAGAACCAGGTTGTCTATCAGTACCCACGAACAACCAGTACATGGTTCTCTATCACTACACACAACCAACCAGTACCAGATCAACCAGTACAAGGTCCTCTATCAGTCCCTCATCAACTACCAGTAGTACAAGGTTCTCTATCAGTACCCCACCAACAACAAGCACCAGAGCAAGGACCTCTATCACTACCTCATCAGCAACCAGTACAAGGTCCTCTATCACTACCCACCAACAACCAGTACAAGGTTCTCTATCAGCACTCCACCAACAACCAGTACCAGGTTCTCTATCAGCACCAACCAACAACCAGTACAAGGATCTCTATCAGTACCCCACCAACAACTAGTACATGGTCCTCTATCAGTACAATACCAGGTCCTCTATCAGTACTCCCCCAACAACCAGTACAAGGTTCTCTATCAGTACCCCAGCAACAACCAGTACAAGGTTCTCTATCAGCACTCCACCAACAACCAGTACCAGGTGCTCTATCAGTACTCCCCAGACAACCAGTACAAGGTCCTCTATCAGTACTCCCCCAACAACCAGTACAAGGACCTTGTACTGGTTGTTGGTGTGGTACTGATAGAGGACCTTGCTCTATTATTGGCTGTTGGGGTACTGATAGAGGACCTGGTATTGGTTGTTGTTGAAGTACCGATAGAGGACCTTGTACTGGTTGTTGGTGAAGTACTGATAGAGGTCCTTGTAATGGTTGTTTGGGGAGTACCGATAGAGGACCTTGCTCTTGTACTGGTTGTTGATGGGGTACAGAGGGTACTGCTAGAGGACCTTGTACTGGTTGTTGGTTGTTGGTGGAGTACTGATAGAGAATCTTGTACTGGTTGTTGGTTGGTACAGATAGAGAACCTGGTACTGGTTGTTGTTGGGGTATTGTACTGATAGAGGACCTGGTATTGTACTGATAGAGGACCATGTACTAGTTGTTGGTGGGGTACTGATAGAGGACCTGGTATTGTACTGATAGAGGACCATGTACTAGTTGTTGGTGGGGTACTGATAGAGGACCTGGTATTGGTTGTTGTTGGGGTACTGATAAAGGACCTTGATCTGGTATTGGTTGTTGGATGGGTACTGATAGAGGACCTTGATCTACCTTGCTCTGGTGCTTGTTGTTGGTGGGGTACTGATAGAGGGCCTTGTACTGGTTGTTGGTGGGGAACTGATAGAGGAACTCGCTCTGGTACTGGTTGTTGGTGGAGTACTGATAGAGACCCTTGTACTGGTTGTTGGTTGGTACAGATAGAGAACCTGGTACTGGTTGTTGTTGGGTACTGATAGAGGACCTTGTATTGGTTGTTGATGAGGTACTGATAGGGGACCTGTTTCTGGTTGTTGATGAGGTACTGATAGAGGACCTGGTATTGTACTGATAGAGGACCATGTACTAGTTGTTGGTGGGGTACTGATAGAGGACCCTGTACTGGTTGTTGATGGGGTACAGAGGGTACTGCTAGAGGACCTTGTACTGGTTGTTGATGGGGTACAGAGGGTACTGCTAGAGGACCTTGTACTGGTTGTTGGTTGTTGGTGGAGTACTGATAGAGAACGTTGTACTGGTTGTTGGTTGGTACAGATAGAGAACCTGGTACTGGTTGTTGTTGGGTACTGATAGAGGACCTTGCTCTGATATTGGTTGTTGGTGGGGTACTGATAAACCAGTACAAGGTCCTCTATCAGTACTCTACCAACAACCAGTACAAGGTCCTTTATCAGTACCTCAACAACAACCAGTACATGGTCCTCTATCAGTGCCCCACCAACAACCAGAACCAGGTTGTCTATCAGTACCCACCACCAACCAGTACATGGTTCTCTATCACTACCCACAACTAACCAGTACCAGATCAAGGTCCTCTATCAGTACCCCAACAACAACCAGTACCAGGTTCTCTATCAGTACCTCATCAATAACCAGTACATGGTCCTCTAACAGTACCCCACCAACAACCAGTATCAGAGCAAGGTCTTCTATCAGTACCCCACCAACAACTAGTACATGGTCCTCTATCAGTACCTCATCAACAACCAGTAGTACAAGGTTCTCTATCAGTACCCCAGCAACAACCAGTACAAGGTTCTCTATCAGTACTCCCCAAACAACCATTACAAGGACCTCTATCAGTACTTCACCAACAACCAGTACAAGGTCCTCTATCAGTACCCCATCAACAACCAGTACCAGAGCAAGGTCCTCTATCGGTACCCCACCAACAACCAGTACAAGGTCCTTTATCAGTACCCCAACAACAACCAGTACCAGGTTCTCTATCAGTACCTCATCAATAACCAGTACATGGTCCTCTATCAGTACCCCACCAACAACCAGTACCAGAGCAAGGTCCTCTATCAGTACCCCACCAACAACCAGTACCAGGTTCTCTATCAGCACCGACCAACAACCAGTACAAGGTCCTCTATCAGTACCCCACCAACAACCAGTAACAGGTCCTCTATCAGTACCTCATCAACAACCAGTACAAGGTCCTCTATCAGTACCTCATCAACAACCAATACAAGGTCCTCTATCAGTACCACACCAACAACAAGCACCAGAGCAAGGTCCTCTATCAGTACCCCACCAACAACCAATACAAGGTTGTTGGTGGGTTACTGATAAACCAGTACAAGGACCTCTATCAGTACCACAACAACAACAAGCACCAGAGCAAGGCCCTCTATCAGTACCACAACAACAACAAGCACCAGAGCAAGGTCCTCTATCAGTACCTCATCAACAACCAGTAACAGGTCCTCTATCAGTACCTCATCAACAACCAATACAAGGTTGTTGGTGGGGTACTGATAAACCAGTACAAGGTCCTCTATCAGCACCCCACCAACAACCAGTACAAGGTCCTCTATCAGTACCTCATCAACAACCAGTACCAGAGCAAGGTCCTCTATCAGTACTCCACCAACAACCAGTACATGGTCCTCTATCACTACCCAACAACAACCAGTACAAGGTCCTCTATCAGTACCCAACAACAACCAGTACCAGGTTCTCTATCAGTACCTCAACTACAACCAGTACAAGGTCCTCTATCAGTACCCCACCAACAACTAATACAAGGTCCTCTATTAGTACTTCAACAACAACCAATACAAGGTCCTTTATCAGTACCTCAACAACAACCAATACCAGAGCAAGGTCCTCTATCAGTACTCCACCAACAACCAGTACAAGGTCCTCTATCAGTACTTCAACAACAACCAATACCAGGTCCTCTATCAGTACCTCATCAACAACCAGTACCAGGTTCTCTATCAGTACCCCACCAACAACCAGCACCAGAGCAAGTTCCTCAATCAGTATTCCACCAACAACCAATACCAGAGCAAGTTTTCTTCCTGTATCTACCTTATTACTGCATTGATTTACAATCATTTCATTTATGGAATTATAGCAAAGAGGGAATTTCCTGACTTCATTATTTTGGGATCTACCTGTCTTTGGGACACTTTTATTTGGGAGACAAAAGAACCATGTTTAATCATAGAGTGATATTTTATCTTTATAATTTTTTATCTAATGATGTGAAATAAAAAATGTCCAGACTTTTAAGTTACCATAATAGTATCAAATCTTACTGAATCAATCTACAAGTAAAGATTTTTCTACAGTATATTTATTTTTAGGTGGATCGAATTAGCTGAGTTTCACTGAAGGACATGAATCCATGTTTCTCAAACAGAATTAGGGCAATTAAGAACTGAAATTATTAAATGAGCTATTGCATATTGAAACCAAAGGCCATTATACAGATTACCAGAACTTGCTCATGGTATAGTTTACACCAAGACGTAGCATCTGTTAGAGTTCAACTATTATCATTACAATGTATTTAGTTTTGAAGCAAAAGTCTACAAATTTTTGCCAAAAATAGGCTGTTCATATTATACTAACCATCGGGTCCAAGTCTGTGTTGAGCTAAAATCCACATCAAAGGGTTAAATATTTAAGGTTAAGTAACAGTGTGAACATTCTCACTTGAGTTTATCTACATCTTATACTGTAGGGATGTGGGGTGGGGTTACATTGATACTGTAGGGATATGGGGGTGGTGTTATATTGATACTGTAGGGATGTGGGGGTGGGGTTATATTGATACTGTAGGGGAGTGGGGTGGGGTTACATTGATACTGTAGGGAAGTGGGGGTGGGGTTATATTGATACTGTAGGGATGTGGGGGTGGGGTAATATTGATACTGTAGGGAAGTGGGGGTGGGGTTATATTGATAATGTAGGGATGTGGGGGTGGGGTTATATTGATACTGTAATACTGTAGTGATGTGGGGCAGGGGTTATATACATACCAAATATGGAGACAGTTGAGGGAGTCAATTATTTTATCCATAAAACACATTTATTTCTTCAAGATTATCTTTATTCTTGTAACAAATAAGATAAAACTAAACCTATAAATATTTTTTATCTAAAGTCTTACTTATTCAACAGTTTAAAATGCTCAGTTGCCATTGCATACTAGTAAGACTGGAAAAGGAAACACATGATATGTATAAATAATGGAGGGTGCAATTTATTTTGGCTGATCTACACAAATAATACAGTTAGGAATACAGTCGTATTAGCAAATAAAAGCAGCCAAATATACCAAAAAGAAACAAGATATCCAGCAGGCTTATCATGCTGATTAAATATCAGTATGAACATGGTAACGCTTCATTATATCAAAATGCTTACTGACCAGTACACAGTGCTGACCGATGACTGACCAGTACACAGTACTGACCGTTGGGATAAACACAAGACTGACCTATGGAAGGAGGATGACTAGTAACTAATGAGAGCTGACCCCTAATAAAATGATTAACCAGTGACCAGACTGGTTCTGACTTACCTTTGCTGTAGAGGATAGGGATATGGTCAGTGGACAGCTTGGCCTTGCTCTTGACCCCAACCAATAGAGGACTGCCTCGTCTACAAAGAAAGCACAGATCGATTATAGAAACAGAAGGCCCCTCAAAGTCACTCCAAAACTTGTTGAGATTTCTAGTAACAGAAAACAAATGTTCTTTTTTTGATTGTTAAAGTGATTGATATGTTTTGAGCAATGCTGTTAACTCCATGGGGACACGATTTCTGTTTTCAGCTTTGTAATTCTAAAACATTATCTTTCTTCAGTTGTCTAATGTTTATTGATTCAATCTTAAAATGTACACTTTTTCTTTGTTTATACATGTATTTCAAAGTAAGAATTTGATAGGATGTTAACAAATCAAATGAAAACTAAATTGTCTCCAAGACACTGATGTATCTACATCCAAAATGTCACTACCAAACGATGCCTAAACCCAAAATGTCACTACCAAACGATGCCTAAACCCAAAATGTCACTACCAAACGATGCCTAAACCCAAAATGTCACTACCAAACGATGCCTAAACCCAAAATGTCACTACCAAACGATGCCTAAACCCAAAATGTCACTACCAAACGATGCCTAAACCCAAAATGTCACTACCAAACGATGCCTAAACCCAAAATGTCACTACCAAACGATGCCTAAACCCAAAATGTCACTACCAAACGATGCCTAAACCCAAAATGTCACTACCAAACGATGCCTAAACCCAAAATGTCACTACCAAACGATGCCTAAACCCAAAATGTCACTACCAAACGATGCCTAAACCCAAAATGTCACTACCAAACGATGCCTAAACCCAAAATGTCACTACCAAATAATGCCTAAACCCAAAATGTCACTACCAAATATAGCCTAAACCCAAAATGTCACTACCAAATGACGCCTAAACCCAAAATGTAACTACCAAACAATGCCAACACCCAAAATGTCACTACCAACGATGCCTAAACCCAAAATGTCACTACCAAATGATGCCTAAACCCAAAATGTCACTACCAAATGATGCCTAAACCCAAAATGTAACTACCAAACGATGCATACACCCAAAATGTCATTATCAAATGATGCCCTACACTCAAAATGTCACTACCAAATGATGCTTAAACCCAAAATGTCACTACCAAACGATGCATACACCCAAAATGTCACTACTAACGATACTGTGGGTCTAATGACTAAGGTGTTCTTGGTATCTATAGGTTTCAATCCTCAATTTGTATTACTGGATGACTAGATAATCATGAAGACTGGACCATATACAATTTTTTATGTATACAAATTACAAATGTTCCTTCATTGGAAAGCTGTTTGATAAAGGTATATTACAAAGATGCTATGACATGCAAACACCTTTGGATACTTTTCATTTCCTATAGAAAGAATACATTCTTCACATCATTTATAAAGCATGGAAAATATACAAATGTTCTTCAATCCAAACATGTCTGAGCTAGATATTAATTGTTAAGGTCTATTCAATTTCAATAAATATGTCAGTTAAAGTGAGTTCATGTCAAATCATAAACAAGAGGTCCAAAGGGCCTCAACACATGTCAACAAGGATAAACAGAAAATTGCTATAAAATGTTTCAACAAAATCATTATAACTTGATTTTGATTTTTAACAAGAGTACAGCAGGAATGGAACAATATTGACCCACACAGCATCTAGTTAGACAAAAGAGTTTATACCAGCACTTTGCCATTGTAATACTCGAATACTACTTTTAAGGACGGCAGTAACAATCCTGAATGTGTGACTGAGGCTTAAGGTAAAGATGAGGTGGGGGAGGGGGCAGAAAATACTATCAAAGTACTGACAATCCATTTCAATAAGTATCAAAAAGTTATTAGAGTTTACCAAAGTTCACCTTGTTTTCTAGTTATCTGTGTTTACCTTAGTTTTTTGTTTTCCAGTTACCTGTGTTTACCTTAGTTTATTTGTTTTCTAGTTACCTGTGTTTACCTTAGTATATTTGTTTTCTAGTTACCTGTGTTTACCTTAGTTTATTTGTTTTCTAGTTACCTGTGTTTACCTTAGTATATTTGTTTTCTAGTTACCTGTGTTTACCTTAGTTTATTTGTTTTCTAGTTACCTGTGTTTACCTTAGCTTATTTGTTTTCTAGTTACCTGTGTTTACCTTAGCTTATTTGTTTTCTAGTTACCTGTGTTTACCTTAGCTTATTTGTTTTCTAGTTACCTGTGTTACTTTAGTATATTTGTTTTCTAGTTACCTGTGTTTATCTTAGTTTATTTGTTTTCTAGTTACCTGTGTTTACCTTAGTATATTTGTTTTCTAGTTACCTGTGTTTACCTTAGTTTATTTGTTTTCTAGTTACCTGTGTTTACCTTAGTTTATTTGTTTTCTAGTTACCTGTGTTTACCTTAGTTTATTTGTTTTCTAGTTACCTGTGTTTACCTTAGTTTATTTGTTTTCTAGTTACCTGTGTTTACCTTAGTTTATTTGTTTTCTAGTTACCTGTGTTTACCTTAGTTTATTTGTTTTCTAGTTACCTGTGTTTACCTTAGTATATTTGTTTTCTAGTTACCTGTGTTTACCTTAGCTTATTTGTTTTCTAGTTACCTGTGTTTATCTTAGTTTATTTGTTTTCTAGTTACCTGTGTTTACCTTAGTTTATTTGTTTTCTAGTTACCTGTGTTTACCTTAGTATATTTAGTTGCTAGAGTTGAAAACTGATGCTGGTCGTATTGATAAATATATTCCATAGTTTGTTTTTTCATATTGTTTTCATTTGTTTAGTGCTATTTTATCATGTATTTAAAACAAGTGGAACATGGGCCTTAACTGTAACCTGAGTTGTAATACAATTGTTAGATGTTGTTGTGATACTGTCAGAAAAAAGCGACAGAAAAAAGTATGTAAATTGACCCCCTACCCAAGGAGGAATGGATGACTTGGGGGTTGTGAAATTCGTGTATTGATTAGGCACTTTAAGACTTTTCCATTCATAAAGAGGATTTGATTCTATCATAATCTGGTCCTCTTAATGAAGAAGAAGACTGTTGAAGTTTTAGCCAATTTGTCCCCTTTTGGGCCCACCCATCAGACCCTAGAGGTGAGTGAGGTTCTAAATATTAAAATGGCAATCCCATGATGATCACTACAACCAAGTTTGATTTCTTTCCCACTGAAACACACACACAGAAGTCTCATTTGCCTTCATAAACTGTAGTAACGTTCACCCCCTCCCTAGGGGAGAAGGTGTAGTAAAGTTCACCCCGTCCCCAGGGGAGAAGGTGTAGTAAAGTTCACCCTGTCCCCAGGGGAGAAGGTGTAGTAAAGTTCACCCCGTCCCCAGCTTAAATGACATATTAATAAACTATCCATCACCTCATCAAGTGTTTGCGTTATATGATAGGTACAAAATATTTACCATTTGTTTGGGATAGCTCAAACAGGTAAAACACAGGTGAAACTCAGGTAACAAATTCTCAAGTAAATAAAGAGTTTTATAAAAAAAAAAACTATTATTATATTATCATTGTTCTCAGGTAAAAAAAAAAAAATCTTCCTGGTGTTGTGCTGTCAAAAGGGGGCAAATGAAGCACCTGCTTCCGTCTAAGTTAATGCTATTCAGCTACACTTACGTGTGATAGTAACATCAACATTTACCTGATGTAAACAACCAGCGGCTTTGTTTAATTGCCCACTGAGAACTTAACACAAGGAATACATTAACAGCCTCTTACCTAATACAACGTCAAGTGGTTTTGTGAACAATTAAATAATGACTGAATATCAATGTCAACAGTACAAAGCTTTTGGTCACACTACCGAAATAAAGCAAACCGGTACACTATTGTATAGAGACAAGCTTTCTCAGCATATTCAACACAAAACTTTACTGTCAACAGGCAAGAACCCATCTCAAACCTGAACAATTTTGATGCACTATTATGGTTCTTGAAAGTCTAATTTCGATGATCATAACCTACCGTATTGTATTACATCACAGCCTAGCTACCATACTGTATGACATCACAGCCTACTGTACTGTATGACATCATAACCTAGCTACCATACTGTATGACATCACAGCCTACAGTACTGTATGACATCACAGCCTACCATACTGTATGACATCACAGCCTACCATACTGTATGACATCACAGCCTACCATACTGTATGACATCACAGCCTACCATACTGTATGACATCACAGCCTACCATACTGTATGACATCACAGCCTACCATACTGTATGACATCACAGCCTACCATACTGTATGACATCACAGCCTACCATACTGTATGACATCACAGCCTACCATACTGTATGACATCACAGCCTACCATACTGTATGACATCACAGCCTACCATACTGTATGACATCACAGCCTACCATACTGTATGACATCACAGCCTACCATACTGTATGACATCACAGCCTACCATACTGTATGACATCACAGCCTACCATACTGTATGACATCAAAGCCTACCATACTGTATGACATCACAGCCTACCATACTGTATGACATCACAGCCTACTGTACAGTATGACATCAGAGCCTACTGTACTATATGATATCACAGCCTACCATACTTTATGGCATCACAGCCTACCATACTGTATGGCATCACCGTCTACTGTACTGTATGACATCAGAGCCTACTGTACTATATGACATCACAGCCTACTGTACTGAATGACATCACAGCCTACTATACTGTATGATATCACAGTCTACTGTATGACATCAGAGCCTACTGTACTGTATGACATCACAGCCTACTGTACTGAATGACATCACAGCCTACTGTACTGTATGATATCACAGTCTACTATATGACATCAGAGCCTACTGTACTGTATGACATCAGAGCCCACTGTACTGTATGACATCACAGCCTACAGTACTGTATGACTAGCCTACTGTACTGTATGACATCACAACCTACTGTACTGTATGATATCACAGCCTACTGTACTGTATGACTAACCTACTGTACCGTATGACATCATAGCATAATGTACGGTATGACATCACAGCCTACTGTAGTGTATGACATCACGGCCTACTG